ATCAAGTTTTGGGCTTCCTCCTGGACTTGGAATCCAATGACCAAACGGTATAGATTATTTTCCTTACGAGGAAAAAGCTGTTCCTTCGCCCGCGGTTGTGGGTATCACAGGCCCAGGCACGATATGAGCAAACAACCAAGAATACTATGTATATGTGACAGCCAGGGGCCAGATAACAAGTAAAAGCTTCCCTCCAAGGAAATGAAAAACCTCAGAACACCATGTGGTGATGCGCTGATAAGTGATCTGCGTGGGTGATAGAGGGGTAACTGATGCTATGAAACACGATCAGGTGGGAAATGCACAAGGAGGCAGGGCAGAAACCGATGAATATGGGGCGCACGAGGGGATTAAGAATCAAAATATGGACGAGGAGGGGAAAAAGAAATAACGCCCAGCGCCATCAGTATGTATGGGAGGATGGAGGGGACATGCGCAACGCCCGGCTGCGTACTCTGAAACGCGCCTGGGCCGTGATGGTTCAAGCGATAATAATGGAAGATGCGACAGAGTGATGGATCATGGAGAGCCCAAAGCTGGCGATCTGGAGCTGTGCCACTGGATCGACTAGAACCGCTGGTTGGTCTCTTAGTCGATTGTTCTATATTACTCTTCTAGTCTGTCGGGAGGGGGGTGGTCGAGCGAGCACGAAGACCTTGCTAGTGAACACCGAAATAATCCGCCGGTGGCTATTAATATTGGAAGTTCACCCTGCTAAAAGTTGTTAATAGTCCTCGCAAAAGTCATGAGGAACAGCTCAAAGTCAGTTTTATCATCTTCCATTATCCTGGGACCTTAATTACACCCAAAAGGCGCCGGATTTCAATCATAATACCGCGGCTGTACATGAACATGCATGTAAAATGATGTATGTATTTTGGCGAAACCGAGTCCACCACCACCGTAAAGACATGTGCATACTTTGTTACGCACATACATACAAACGTACATACATACATACATACATACATACGCACATACATACATACATACATACATACATACATACATACATACATACATACATACAAACAAACGTACATACATACATACATACATACATACAAACAAACGTACGTACATGCTGCGCTGCGCTGCGTTGGCCAGCAGTGACTCGCTTGTTCACCAACCAACCAAGGGATGGGGGAAGTCCATGGATTGATAATTCCATCCTTCTTTCGATGCTGCTGTCCCTTCAAGCTGAGAGGTTCGGTTTTGTATTGCGGAGTATGTTATTCATGGTCTCGAGCTAAACCTGTTCCCTGCTGCGATGCGCCGCCAACTCACATGGTGACTCTGCTCCACACCTGTTTTTATCAAATGAACGCAGGATCATGGGCGAGAGAGGACACCTTGTGCATTGCCTCCAATTCGCCAGAATGCAGCATTTTGAGAAGATAGTTACCAAAAGTCAATTGTGGGAATATCCGCTTCCGTTCGCAGCGGTTCGTAGCAACCCACAGCTTCGGGGGGAATTTGAACCCCCCCCCCCCCCCCCCCCAACAAGCCAGTGAGCTTTCTATATGCAATATGATATTTCGTGGATTCACAGAAACACAACCAAGTGCGACCACGCTGAGTCCGATGATGAGCTGCTCACAACACTCCAATATCTTTTGGGTTTGGAACCCAAAGAAACGGGCTGCCATTAACATTACCATCAGCTAGTTAGCGATTACAACAGTCTCTACCGCAGTCAGCAGTAATATTAAGGAACTTAAAAACTCCGTCCAGCGGCATCTCGAACACCCTGGGGAGATGATCCTTGAGACTGATCAGATCGGCCCCCAGGAGCTCAAACAGTGGTCAAGATTTCCGGTGACTAGTGTCACACGGCGGGTTTCCAATAATAAACTGATTGGCGATGAGGCCCAGGAGACCCATACCAAGTTACCAACGAATAGCAACGATCCTCTAGAGGCCCGATGCTCTCACGGGGGACGGCGACTAGCTGGGCGCAAATTAAGCATGTGTTCAAGGTTGTTACGTAGCATAAGCCACATCCCCAGAGCGAACCAAATCAGAAAACCGTGTGTTGTTGGAGCATCGGAGAAAACAGGTTGCTTTTCAAAGCAGTGATTTAGTTACAGTAATCAGTTTGAATCTGTCAACTTTTGAATTCTCATGAATTTTGTAGACACATAATTGCAAGGGATATCTACAAGGGTTGGTATTATTACCGCGCAATACTTCATCTTCAGCCCAGTTTCAAAAATATTTTCTCGCCAATCAGCGGGGAAAATAGTTAAGCCGTAGTTATCGTATACGTCGGTCTCGTATTGCGGAGTAACGATCCTTTCCAAGGTTCGTATGTGGCTTTTTCCCTTCCGGCCCATCGATGTCTTCCAAAGTCTCGATAGGATTTCTTCCAACGCCAAAAACCTCACAATTGTTCATCGTTCAATCCTGAGAGCAGGCTGCTCTTTTGAGAGTTCCTACGGCGGTACCATTTTGGAGGCGGTGCTGACGGCCCTATTTATACTTATGATCCGACAATGCCTATCCCGACGTGCTGCTTATCCCTGTTACCGAATTGTAGCGGGTGGAACTGAGCCCACGGGCTGTCTCTATCCCCAGAGCTGCCGCATATCAAGGAGGGGGAGGGATTGGTCCTCTACTTCTCGACGGGCTATAGATACCCAGACGTCTGGTGCGAGCAACGGCGCCGACTACGTTCCTTTGCGTCAACAATTGAAAGAGCAGGCTAGAGCGAAGCGGGCAGCGAAAAGGAAGGGCGAAGTTTCACCGCCAGAACATGAGGATTGGGAACTGACTGTGGGCATTGAGATACATGCGCAATTAGATACGGATACAAAACTATTTTCAAGTAAGGCAAATGTGGCTAGTGGCTGGAGATCTGGTATCCTCTTTGGATCTGACCGTTGTGAGCAGGAGCCTCTGCGGCCATTGATGATGTCCCAAACTCAAACGTAGCACTCTTTGATGTTGCATTGCCAGGAAGCCAACCGGTTAGTTCTTCATTTCTTTGACTGTGTATAACAGTACGTACACCAATGGCACCTAGAGTTCAGTTATATTGACGAATAACTAGTTGTTTCAACCAGCCACCTTGATACCCGCACTACGCGCGGCCATTGCCCTGAACTGCGATGTGCAGCGGGTCAGTCGTTTTGACAGAAAACATTACTTCTATCAGGACCAGCCTGCGGGCTATCAAATAACCCAATACTACGGTACTTGAAAAGACCCCACACATATATTTTTCCAATGAGGATCTGTTTGTTCCCCTAACAATTTCCCCCCCCCCCCCAAAAAAAAAAAAAAAAATAGAACCGTACGCGAAAAATGGCAGCATTTGGTTGGGATCACACGATGGCATTGCTAAGGAGGACGGGGTCGGCGTTGAAATCGGTATAAAACAAATACAGATGGAGCAGGATACGGCGAAATCACAAGAACTTCCATCGTCCACATACCTTCTTGACTTCAACCGTGTTTCGCGCCCTCTTATCGAAATAATAACGCTACCGCAGATCCACTCGCCAGCAACAGCCGCTGCTTGCGTGAGAAAAATCCAGACGATCCTTCAGTCCGTCGGAGCAGTGACAACGGGGATGGAAATGGGAGGCCTAAGGGCTGACGTTAACGTATCTGTAAGAAAACGGAGCGAGGGGGTTGGTGACCATCAATACCACGGAGTAACAGGACTCGGCCAACGAACCGAAATCAAAAATCTAAGCAGTTTCAAAGCTGTCGAAGATGCTATCATTGCAGAACGAGACCGTCAAATCGCGGTACTTAGAGCAGGTGGCGCCATTGAGGGAGAGACACGAGGCTGGACACTTGGCAGCACCGAGACCAGGAAACTACGGGGGAAGGAGGGGGAAGTGGACTACCGATACATGCCGGATCCTGATCTGGGGCCAGTGATAATAGGATACGATGTTCTTTGTGAACTCAAGGCGAAGCTGCCAGTTCTGCCCGATGCGCTCTTACATAATCTTGTCCAAGATCCGAAATACGGACTCTCTATTGACGATGCCAAGACATTGATTGAACTCGATGACGGAGATCGGCTAGATTACTATAAAGATGCTGTTGATATTCTAGTTACCCTCCAAAAGGACCTATCCGACGATTTCAGTGGCGGGAAGGTGGTTGGCAATTGGGTGCTGCATGAACTCGGAGGCCTGCTAACCAAATCAAACCTCCACTGGGACTCAGAACGGGTCCCAGCACAAAGTCTAGCGGAAATTATCAACCTGCTCTCCCGAAATAAAATAACCGGCAGCACGGCGAAATCTCTCTTTGCAATGGTGTTTGACGGCGACAAGCGGTCTATCGGTCAGATTGTGGAGGACGAAAATCTCCTTCTCCAAAGCCTTTCCCGGGAAGAATACATCGCGCTAGCCGAGGAGGTTATGCGCCAGAACCCCAAGATGGTGATGGAAATCTGCGAGAAACGCCAGCTGGGCAAGATTGGCTGGTTGGTTGGACAGATTAAGCGGATTGGTGATAGGAATAGAGTCGAGGCGCAAAAGGCCGAGGAGATTCTACGGGAGCTTATACTTAAATAGGCGTCTGCATCTGTGGTTGGAGGATTGAACTCGCTGTATGATATAAATAAGTGTAGATCTAGATAGGTAAAATGTGTAGTTCACCCATCGTATACTGTTGAATGCAAAATTAGCAGTCTGAACATCCCATTTGCATTGGCATCCCTCCCCTTCCCGGAAAATTCTATCTTAGGCGACAATGTTTTTCAATCTCTGGAAACAAAATATATAAATACCTCACCGCCGAATCATCAATTCATAGCCCCGTCCACCTGATGTCACCGCCCATGGTTAAGTGGGAAGCGTTGGTGCGGAAAAGTGGCGACATCTCTCTTAAACATGTACTTAGGGGAAATGGTTCATTCGGTATGACATACAAAGTGAATGGCGTCTCCTAGTTTTCTCCATCTCCTTTCCCCTAAAAGCATGTTGAACCGGGGACACATGAGGGTTTGAATAGGAGCAGCAGAGGGACTCCTACGCTGCGATGGGCCCGGATCTTCTATGGGTAATTCCCTTCTTCTCTCGTGTTATTACATTAAGTTTTCTCGTCATCTTCTTTTGTAATTTCAGGAGTTCTTATTTTTAACTGCTATTCTTGAAACCTCCACTGGTATCCGCTGCCCGTTATCGAGAAGCGCTTCAATTTTGTATATTAATCACACATCAAACAGACGTTTCGCAAGGGGAAGAACATCTAGCTTCTATTTTATTTACTCTTTATCACTTTCTCATCTCGATGCTCTTCTTATTTCTCTCGTATTTCAAACAGTTGAGATAAATTCATTCTTTCCCAGTCGCACCAAGTTGAGACAAGTAACTACAGAGGCGCAATTTTGGGCTACATAGTTGTCTCTGCTTGCTTGCTTTTCCAAATCACTATTTCTTGCAAAAGTTTCCCTTTTAGCAGACTTCAACAACTTCTCTTCCCTTTCGACCGAAGGCGAAGATCATATAATTTGCATAGGACCAGGCTTTCTTGCGCCGTTTCGAAACATTCATTGGAGGATTCATCCAGCCGTCTTATTGAAGAAAGGAAGGGATATCGCAGAAAGGAAGCGCAAAATGACACAGGAAAATACGAACAATGTGATCTCGCCGTCTATGATCAAACACAAGTTCCTCTCCAAACCCAAGGAAGTGGGGGTAGTGGCCGTTGGCTTTTCCGGAGGCCAGGTATGTATTATAACATCTACAACTTAAAAGAGACTATACAAAGAGCGTACCTAACATCCCCCCCTCCCTAATCAACAGAGCAAACCAGGAGTCGATGACGGCCCCACAGCTCTCATCGAAACAGGCCTACTCGAGCAACTCCAAGAAGACCTAGGCTACACCGTCAACTACGACAACAAAGTCCACAACTACGGTGACATCGTCCCTGTCTCCGACCCCGACTTCCGAGGCATGAAAAGGCCCCTCTCTGTCAGCGCCGTGACAGAGAAGCTCAGCCAGCAAGTCTACGAGCACGCGCGAGATGGCAAGTTTGTCCTGACGTTGGGCGGCGACCATTCCATCGCTATCGGGACCGTGTCGGGAACTGCGAAGGCGATGCGGGAGAGGCTGGGGAGGGAGATTGCGCTGATCTGGGTGGATGCGCATGCTGATATTAACACGCCGGAGACGAGTGGGAGCGGGAATATACACGGGATGCCTGTGGCGTTTCTCACGGGGTTGGCGAGGGAGGAGAGGTCGGATATCTTTGGGTGGTTGGGGAGGGATCACTTTGTTAGCACTCGGAAGCTGGTGTATATTGGTTTGCGCGATGTGGATCGCGGGGAGAAGAAGATTCTAAGAGAGAATGGGATTCGGGCGTTTAGTATGCATGATATTGATAAGCATGTTTCCCCCCCCAACCCTACTATACATATATATTCTTATATCCTCTTTTGTTTTGACGCTCTTGCTAACCATGATGTCAGACATGGTATTGGACGTGTTGTCGAGATGGCTCTGGCGCATATCGGAGCCGATACACCAATTCATCTCTCGTTTGACGTGGACGCTCTTGATCCCCAATGGGCTCCTAGCACGGGTACTCCCGTCCGAGGCGGGCTGACTCTCCGTGAAGGCGACTTCATCGCTGAATGCGTTCACGAAACCGGGAACCTGGTTGCGATGGACTTGGTGGAAGTGAACCCAAGCCTGGAAATCATGGGTGCCAATGAGACCATCCGGGCGGGCTGCTCGTTAGTCCGCTGTGCATTGGGGGATACACTTCTCTAAAGCTGTCTTGCCGCTTGAAGTTGGAGCGCCTTGGGACTGACTGCCTTTTGTTGATTGTTGGAATGGATCTATATAGAAATGACTTGCAAAATATGAGGTGTGTATGGAACTGGAATGATAGTATAAACTAATAGCAAGCTTGTAAAAATCCAGATAGATGTTATAATGTATCTTGCTATATATTTGTACTGATTTGTCTGCCAGATCTTCTCTTCCATTGCTCTGTTTGCCTTTAACTCTCTATTCACTGCGAAAGCTCGATTTTGCGGAAAAAGCCGTAAAATTGATCGTTAACTATTTAAACGTCATTGTTGGCAACAAAAACAAATATACAATGAGTTTGTTACACCGCAAAACTCGAAACCAGCTTAACATTAACTGCTATGGCCTCCCTCTCCAGCAGGGAGTAAGACAGACATCAGCCTCGTGTTAGCAACGTATTTCGCGTTGGCGGCGGCGATGAGTTTTGAAATATTCCCCTGCCACCGGCTTATCCATCCCCAACCCCTTCATTTATTTACTCAGCGGCAGCAAACCAATGAAAAATAGGAACAGGAGTTGGAAAAAGAAAAACAACCATGTGCATCTTTATCTCCCTCGAACAATTAACTGATCAGCTATAATTCGATGACAAAGTTATTCGATTTCGGTTTTTTCACCCACACATCTGGAAAACACTCCGTGCTCCTCATCATAGCGTTTTGTATATTTCTACGTATCTATATATCTTCTCTGCAGGAATAACATATCTTTTCCCCTACATTCCCAGGCCATTGGGACACGATTCTAAAATACCCAATATTGTATCCGTGGTCGCTTTCGATTCCCATGAACGGCTTACCCCTCCCCTGCGTCATCTAGTTTTGAACCAAGCACGTTGTCTCCGCTGTTCTGCTGTCGTGGTCGACTCCCATTGCTACAGACAGCCTCGAAAACCACAACTGCCAATTGGTCCACATTATCATCATCATCATCACCACCACCACCACTGCGCGCCCAACTATAATTCCCCTGCGCTGCTGCTTGACCAATTGTCTCCAGCGTAGAAACGTGGGAGGGAATTGTTTCTCTCCCCTTCCCTCTTGTTCACGCTCCCGCTCAATCTCCCTCTGCTCCTCCGGCATCTTCTAAATCAATCACCCAAACTTCCCCATAGGCACAACGATCTTCACAATCGACTTCGAGGGGTTTTTTCCAGTCGTATCCCAGGCTGCAGAGCGGCCTGAATATACTTCCTTTTATTTTTAGTAAATACAAACGGACACCGACTCCGACACTTGTTCCTCATACGGTACGATCCCGCATATCCTTGGCCCTCTGTGAACCTCTTGTCGGAAGGGAGAAAGACACCTCTGCTCCAGGTCGAGTACCTTTTGAGTCCCCGCTATATTTGAAGTATATCTCGCCTACCTCGTCCTTCTTCAGGCTTTGGACAGGAACTCAATTGATATCCTGCGAACACATTCCCCCGCACCCTTTCCTGGATGTCAAGCTCGAGCTATTCGCGGACAATGGTTCCCGCAACGCGCAAGTTCCACTGGCCAGAGATACAGCTGAACATATGGTTCTTCGTCGTGCTTGCGGGCTCGGCAACATGTCTGGGAATCTTCAGCTGGCTCATGGCAGTACAGACGCAAATGGAGCTGCCGATCCCCTGGTAAGTTCTATATTATGGATAAACAAACCCTTCCCCAAAGACTCTCAATTCCTGTTTTCAACCTGGGGCCGATTGATACTTACATAGATCTATTGATCTATACATTCTATACCTGCAATATCCCGATTTACACAATGATCAACGAACTTACGAATAACAGGGTCTTCCCCTTCATGGTAGCCGCCGCCGCCATATCACTTATATTCCTCTTCCTGATCGTCTTCCTCGCCATCCAGCATTCGCTAATACCCGAAATGATAATACTGGGCAGCTTTATTCTCTTCGTGCTATGGTTCACGGGCCTAATAGGCACATCCGTGCAGCTATACGGTAGCAAAGCAAACATCAATTCAAACTGCCAGAATTGGGTGTCTGGTTACCAGTATAAGGGCGCAAGTATAAATACCCTTGCGTGGCTGACGAATATAACAATCTGTATGTCCCCTTTTCCTTAACCTTGGTTTTTTTTTTTTTTTTTTTTTTTTTTTTTTTTGTTTTTTGTTTTTTGTTTTTTGTTTTTTGTTTTTACATCCTTAAACCCTAACTCGGCTGCCCCCTTTTTCTCTGTCATTTAACAATATCTAACAAAAGAATGAAAAGGCAACTGCTGGAAGACCGCATTCGCATTCGAAGTAGTCGTATCGGTTTTCCTCCTCTGGATGCTTGTCATGGCATTCCAGGTCCGAAAACACACGGATCCTTACTGATCCATTTGACTTGGTTTGCCTTTTTTCCAACATCTCATAGCACCTTTTTATCTTGCCCTTTTTGCAACTTCATTTCTTTTTTTTCTGATGGTCATTTGATAATAAATATATCTACCTGCAATGGGGTACATGTCACTTAGCGTCTTCATATTTCGCACAGCATCCAGATGGAGTATGGTCTTTCATTTTACAATCTTTTATATTGTTTCACCTTATATGGGGGAAAGTGGCCGGCTGGCCACAGTTTTATTGAACGAGTGGGAAGGGATATATGATTTGCCTCTCTGTCTGTCTGTATACATTGCGGTTGATTTAGTTTCTGTTTTTTTTTTTTTTTTTGATATTGTTGCCAGGTGTTATTTACTGGTATGATATGCGTAATGGTATCGGGAGGGGGGAAAACCCTCCTATCATTTTCAATTTTCATATTCATTTATTATATGTGTCCTGTTTCTCTCTGTTCCTGTTCCCGCCTCTGCTCCCGTCTGAATCAATATCGGCATCAATAAATAGGGGAATGATGAAATAATATTTCTCCTGTGTAATATCTCTCCTGTATAATGATTTTTTACACTTCACGCTGTCGCCAGCCAGCCAGTTCATCATAAAACTACAACACGATTTTTCCTAAGCTCTCTAAAAACGGTGAATATCTCCTTCTCATACAGTTATAGTTATTCCAGATGCCAGTGATGTCAACGACTTTGGTCTTTGGGAGCAATGTTCTCCAGGGCTCTTGGAGACGGGTCTCGCTCATTGACAGGGAACGGTGTGTATATTGAGAGAGGGAGACCTGTGTTCTGTGTCTAGTCTGAAATAACTTAAGGGGCGAGTGCTTCGTATGTAAATCGAATCTCGAGTAATATTTATAGGTCTCAAATAAGTACCGGGCCGGCTCAAGGGCAGATTTAAGACCAAAGCGCTAATTTTTCGGCCCAAACGAAATCCCACGTCGCCGAACATCTGTATCTCTGTTCCATTCTTCTATCCACGATCGTCAAAGCTATATATATATATATATATATATATGTATCATGGTGACCTTGGGAATATACACATCCAAAGCAAGCACAACATCGAATGCCGCAACTGCCGCAAAGGCATCCCCGAGAAAGGATTTCGGGGCAAACCCGACAGAAGAACGCTTCGAACTGGATTTTCACAAGGTGACAGACAGCCTACGCAGCGGGGTGGACTTTTTGGTTTCCAGGAACTGGGGACAACGATACCTTGTTTACTTGCGGCTGCCCAGTTTGCTGTTGGCGGTTTGGCTCGGGTGACTACGTAGTTTCCTTCACGTTTCCTTGGAAGGGTCTCAAACCTTGCAGCTGACGCCATCCCCCAAAAGGGCATAGCGCTCGGCTCGAAAGCCAATCTCCGGCCCCGCTAGGTCAACCACGGGACTTAGCGCAGTCACGGGATCCGTTACGTAGGCTCCGTCCGGCGTCCTCCGAATCAGGCAGCCCCCGTTTTCCCGGCGTTCCAGCCCTGCCATTGTACCCTTCCCCCAGTAACCCAGCGTGCGAGTGACCTCGCCCAGCCCACCCGGGTCGCCGCCAAGGGGAACCCCCCGTGATGATTACCTCATTCACTAGGGGCAGACCTTTGGCCTGGCTTCAACTCGAACCTCAACCTCACCCCCCATCATCATCCGCCATCTTCTTCATCCTCATATCCTCATCCTCATCCATCGGCCTCTGCCTGTCCACTTCACTCTCTTCCCTTTCTCCATCAAAACCCCATTCCACAAAACCAAAACCCAAACCCCCCCCCCCCCGGCCTTTTTTTCAGTCTTTTCTTTCCTTTACCCCTAGTTGTGTCTTCATAAGACTTCCCCCCCCCCCCCCCCCTGCCCTGCTCATCACTCTGCGTCACGGTAGTTAACCGCTGCTATGAAGTTCTCTCTGCTGCTTGCAGCGACCACCACCCTACTGGGCACGTCGTCTGCAAAGGTACACAAACTGAAGCTTAACAAAGTATCTCTATCACAACAGCTTGTAAGTAGTAGTCGTCGATAGCAGATGACATTTCCCTCTTTTTGTGTTACCCATTGCTGTTGATGTGATGTCGTT